ACAACACAAATATATTATAGTTTTGGAGATCAGAGTCCAAAATAGTTCTTACTGGCTGAAATCCAGGTGTCTGCAGGGCCGTGTTCTTGTGAGGAGTCTCAAAGAATCTAATCTCTTATCTTTCCCAGCTTCCACAGGTTGCTTGTGTGTTGATGCCTTTTTCCATCTTTCAAATCTGCAGTACAGCATCCTCAATTCTCTCTTTCAATCTGACCCCACTGCTTTCTTTTTCCCCCTGCAAGGGCCTTGTGAATACTTTGGACCCACCCAGATGATTCAGGATCATCTTCCCATCTCAATTCTTAACTTTATTGAATCTGCCATTTTCCTATTGCCTTTTAAGGTAACATACTCAGAGGTTCCAGGATTAGGACGAGGAAGGCTATGGGAGCCAATATTTTGCCTATCACAGGGAATAGTATCATATCTTGATGACTGTATAGAATTTGGAAGAGAGTTAAAACAGCCTGGATTAGTACCAACCTTCTTTGTTTTAGTTTGTTCATCTATGAAATGGGTGGAGAAGGAGGAGGAAGTGAGATTCCCTTTGGAGCGTAACATTCTCTGACTAAAATGTCACTTCCGTGAAGACAGGGATTTTTTTCTGTCTTGTTCGCCCCTGTGCTCATTGCCTGCAGCAGAGACTGCTATGTAATGGGCACTCAGTAATTATCAGTTGAATAAAATATTTATGGCACAATAAGTCAATGAATGAAGGAAAAGAGCTGGTGAGAATTGTCCAGTAACTCCTTGTTAAATTCTAGCTGTCTTGGAGAAACACGGATTTTTAGCTCTGGTTAGATTATCCAGAATCTTGTCATCATGACAGAGGCATTCTACAGCTGGGAGGGAGAGCTGAGGTCTGCAGAGTCTGTTCCTTTTCTCGTTTGCTTTTCTCTATGCTGAGCATCCCCTAGAAGTGGGAGCAGGGAAATGTATTGAGATTTGCATGGCCTCAGTAAATGTCTGGGGCAGCTGCTTATTGAAGAAGAGCACTGTAGCTGTGATCAGTTGCCCCTGGAGCAACCAGCTGTCACATTCCACGCTGCTCATCCAGCAAGAGTTAAGTCTTGCCCTTTGCATTCCTAAAAGAACACTCAACCCCGTGAGGACATAGTGTCTGTTTACACTGTGGAAAGTGCCAGTAAAGTAGAAAGCAGAGAGGCTTCTTTATGCTTAAAAAAATACCAGTGTCCACCTGCATTTGAAGGTACAGGTAGCCAGAGGGTGGGCAGCAATGAATTAACTTTCTGACGGCTGACCTTTTTAGGGGACTGCTCCTCACTTGGCAAGCCTCATATGTACTTGCATTAAAAACTGTCATTGACTACTGACATTTAAAAATGTATAGTTAAAAGTTATGTGTAGAAAATGAACTCATTTATTTAAAAGGGCAATTGAGGTCAGAAGAGAGGACTTTATATCAACACGAGGAGGACAGAGTGCTAGTTTTGTTCAGCTTCTTAATTCAGAGAATTTGGCTGTCTTTGTGACCTTGGACAAACAGTATACCTTTTCTTCTATTTTTTAATCTCCTTGTTTAATCAGTAGTATTTGTAAAATGTCATCATCTGGACACAGAGGCAAATATACATATTAGATATATTTTTCTGGTCAAAGAGTCTTTCTTTAATATTGGAGGAAAAAATTAAATATGGTTGGGTCTTATATCTTCGGGTTCTACATTCATGGATTCAGCCAACTGCTGAATAAAAATATTTGGGAACATCAGGTCTATAAATAACACATACTATTTCCTTGTTATCCACTAAACAACACAATATCTCAACTATTTACATAGCATTTACAATGTATTAGGTATTATAAGTAACCTAGAGATGAATTAAAGTATATGAGAGGATGTGTATAGGTTATGTGCAAATACTGTGTCATTTTGTTTATCGGACTTGAACATTCTCAGATTTTGGTTTGGAGAATGGTTTGGTGGTCAGAACCAATTCCCTGTGAGTATTGAGGAGTATCTGCCTAGTAAAATGTCTAGTGTTTAAAGGATACAGAGTATGTTTTTGAAGCCCATGAACTAGACTCTTAAAGACTTAATAGATGCAGAAGAATATCCTCCATTCTTCCATCAAGTAGAAGACAAAATTTCACCATAAACAATTTTTGAAATATTCATATGAGATCAAGACTAGGAAAAACCATAGGTTCTAGAAATCAAAAAGAGAATCTAAGGTAAGAGAAGTGAGCAACCAAAAGCCAGGTGGGCTCACAGTGCCTGAGACTGAGTGTGGTGGGAATCATGCCTGAGGGTACCCTCTAAAGAGTTGGGGATAGGTCCAACCTGCAGCAAGAGGCAAGGGGAGCTGACACCAAACTCCATGGAAAGTCGAAGTCTGTGAAATCCTGTTCATGCAACTGAGCCTAGCAAAGCTCCACCACCAGCCAGGACAGGCAGCAAGGAAGCTTGCCTTCTGCCTGGAGCAGGGAATGAAAGAAAAGACACTTGTGAACCATGAGACAAGAGCCTCTGCCACACACAAGTGGGGAGTTCAAGTTTCCACCTCCAGTACAGTGCAGAGACAAACAGGGAATCATTGGGTGTGGACCCTCCATGACTCAGGGAACAGGAGATTCTGGAAAACAGATCCTGCTAAGGATCAACTTACAGTCATAATAAGTACATTCAAAGAAATGAAGGAGAACAGGCACTAGGTTTTTACAAGTTTATAAAAAGAATCAAAAGGAATTCTAGAAATGAAAATCCAGTTATTGAACTGCATGAACTGTGAGTGAAAATGTAGATCATGGCATACATTGTAGAATGGCTTTGAGGACAGTATTTTTTTACCAAGGAAAAAAATCTTCAGCCCACAGATAGAAGGAATGCTTACCTTAGGAATGCTTCTTGAGTGTAGAACTTCAGTTGCAACTGAGACATAGGTTTCAATAACGGGTATGGCCTGGGCACTATCCAGGTCTGCTACAGGAGCCTGTGCTTTCTTGCTGAAAAAGAAGACCTTGCTGACCGGCTGGCGATGCTGTATTTTGGTTCTACTTTTCTATTCTAGATTGATGCTCCCCTGACCCACCCACTAAACATTATACATCCTCTTCTCTTCCATCGCCCACCACCCTACCCTGTTATTTCCCATCCACCCACTGTACATATTACTGACCAGGGTAAGGTATCTGTAGCCAGCGACCGTGGAACACAGCAAGCCAATTGGCCCATGTCGACTTTGAACTCATTTTCAAGTGATTCTAACCACCTCACCTAACAAACAGTATCATTTTAACCAGTCTTGAGTTCAGAAAAATATGTTGTACAACTGATCTTATTTAGTCTCTTAAAGACTTTGAAAGAGACTCCATCTTACAGTAAATTTATGGTAGTACCGTGATGCACTAAAATATTAATATAGTTGACCACTTAAAAAGCACCTGGATTTTTGTCTCTGTCTTTCTGAGTGAGCAGGTCATGATTTGTAAGACGCCTTCTCCTTTATGCCTCAGCGCTTCTAGTAATCTCTGGCCACATGTGTCATAAAACTCATCATGTCGTCCTACTGTGCCATGAATGCATTATGTTTCATGCGTGATTGATTCTGAGCTCCTTCAGGGTATCCTTTTTCTCAGTTTTTATCACTCTGTGAAACATAGTAAATACTTGAGCATCCGTTGAATAAATGAATTAATTGATGAATACTTAAAATAAACAACTTAGAGTTGTACCATTCTATATTGACTCCAGTGGTCCTCATCAGTTACATTTCAAATGAACATGCCCAGCTGCCATCCAGATGTGTTGACCTTAGGTTTTCTTAGCCATTTGTCTTTGAAGCTGGAGCATCTAGAAATTTTTCAAGGGCTGAAGAGTGTACAAAAGTAAGAGAGAGCTGAACTAAAGGCAATCAAATGGCTTAGGATAAATGAATAATTGTGGTTTTTTCTTAACAACATTCTTTTATCAAGAGAGAGAGTGAGTTGAGAAGAACAAAAAACTATATGAGACAACAATGTAGTTCCCTTCCCTGTTCTGCTGTTTTAAAGAGGAATTATATGTTGTTTTTTTAAAGCTAAGGGACCACAGTGAGCTGAGAAAGCAAAGATGAACCTTGCACACAAGACTAAGGACTGCATATTCCTGCAGTGTGACTGTGAGGGACATTAGCTTATTCCACTGATACTAAATTCCGAAAGGAAAAAAGAGTAAAATTTCTAAGTAATGAAGAGGAAGTGGAAGTAAGTTGAAGGTCTTTATAAAAATAAGGTTATATCATTGAAACTGAAGCTGGAAATTAACAGGTAAGTAAAAAATACTTCCAAACACAAAGATGAGTGTTTTTAAAGTCTTGGTAAATCTTTTGTGAAACCTTAAGACATATTCTGGGTTCAGCTTAGTCATCTTAAGGTAGTTTCAAATGACTTCTAATCTGTTGGCTCTGCATGTTAATTTATGTTTTGAGTTTTCAATAACCTTTTTCCCCAAAAATAAATCTTTTGAAGGTCAGTTTTCAAAAGCAGAAATTTCAAAAGAAGTTGGACTACTTTGCTATGTTAGGAATTCTTTGCACCCTAATGATCTCCTGCATTCCTTTTATCATTGGCCACTGAATTCTGTTTTATTTTTAGTAAAAGGGCATTTAGCCCTTTTGAAATATTTTAAACAAATACACAATGTTCATTTTATTACACATTTTATTTGAAATGTAAGGAAATCTGTTGTTTATATTTATTTACTTAAAATGTGATTACTAATTAGTTAACACAAACTGTGGAGTGAATCACAGAATCCAATATAGTTTGGGTCACAAGAATTTAAAAACATTAGTATTCTTATGAGAAGAAAAAGAATATATTCAGTGAAGCAATATTCATGCAAGTACTGGGGGCTTTTGCTTTTCTGTTTTGTAGCTTCATGTTAGTTTATTTTATAGCACATGAAATATTCTGTTGTGATCGCATTCACTTTGGGAAATTTCTACTGATAATTCCAGTCAAAGAAAAAATGTGTCGCTTTTCTCTTCTTGTACCAGGTCGTTGGTGTAGCTCAGGCCATCAACAAGAAATCAGGAAATGGCGGAACATTCACTGAAAAAGATGAAAAGGTACCAAAACCTCAGTTTGGGATTATGTCAAATTGGAAAGATGCTTTCTTTTTCTTGTATGTTGACCTGTAGAATTAGCTGTTGCTAAAGTTGTTGATCATGAAAAACATGATGATTGAAAATGATTTGAAATGTTCAAAAGTGTACCCTTAGCTAAAGACTGAGTTGGTTTGAATAGCAAATACCTGAATTATTCATTCTGCAGAAACTCCCAAATTCCCTCCTCACTATGTCACCAAGGGCTGGGTACATGGTGGAGCCACACAGAGGGTGACTTACAGTATTTTATCTCTCTCATTTACCTTTCATCGCTGCTATGAAGAGTTTCAGCCTTGAGTAAAAAACCCTTGAAAGCAGTGCTCCAAGTTCAGCACTCCGGCTTGGCTGAGAATTGGAATTGCTTCCTGTTGAAGCCAGTTTCCCAGTGCTTTATAAGCTTTTCACACAGACGTTGGGGCGCCAAGGTGCAAATTCAGGCTAGATGATGTGAATTCAGCTTCAGAAAGAGCAGCAGTCAGCATTATTATTATTTTTTTACGCTTCTCATCCAACTCTGAAAGAATATATTCTGCACACCACATTGACATGCTTTCCCTGCAAGAATGCTCTTAAATCTCTTCATAATTCATTCTGTCTGTAGATTTTATTTCTTCTCTTGCAAATGTAATTATATGTATATCACACCCCATTGTATTCCTCCTATTCCAAGTCCATTGCTATTTTTGTTGCTTCTCTGAAAATTAGTAGGAGCTTTTGAATTTTTGAATTTTTTTTTTTAATTGGAGGACAACCAAACAAGGCAGTTATTTTTGTCTCCATGCTGTGGACTGTATTGGCACCTGTGCTGGTCCTCGAGTTTTAATTGCTTTCGAACACAGCATGTATCTTTTAAAAAAATTTTTTTTACTTCGTGAAAAAAAAATTTTAACAAAATAATAAGCGAATAACAATAGTTAATACACTGTGTATCATTATCTTCAAAGTAGTTACTCAGAGTACAAGACATAGAAAAGATTCTCTCTTCCAAAAAAGAAAATATAGATGATAACACAAAAACGTTTTTCAGTGAACTAAGAGAAATTAATAGCATAAATGAAATAAATTAGTGTATATATTAAAATATTTTTGAAATAATGAAATAAGTAACGCAGGGATTATTTGAACTTCGCTCCTAAAGAATTAAAATCGTAATATTACAGAGATACATGAATGCCCATGTTTATAGCAGCACAATTTATAATAGCTAGATCTTGGAGATGGTGTATATGTATGTTCATCAACAAATGGGTGGATGAGGAAAATGTATTTATACACAAGGAAGTACTACTCTGCCATAAAGAAAGATAAACTTGAAGCATTTTAATTTGAGAAGTTTGCATGAGTTTTATGCAAAGCAAATGTCTACACTTTTGGCTTTTAATGTTTATTTCAACAGTATATATTTTTAGTGCCTTTTATGTTTCAGGCCACATTAGTAGAAGATTTTATAAGGAATTTTTATTTGGCTTTACGTTGTTTCTGTTTTCTAGGACTTTGCTGCTTATTTGGCATTTTGTGGTATTGTTCTTCACAATGCTCAACTCTATGAAACTTCACTGCTGGAGAATAAGAGAAATCAGGTAAGTATAATACTTAAAGGAGAGAATAGGTATCCTTTCTTAAAATATTGTCAATTTTTAATCCAAGTAATGGAAGCACATGATGAAAAATCAAATAGTCTCAGTTTCTAAATGTATTTGTTTCTTCTAATTGTTATAGTTACTTCTGTTTCCTATTCTTCGTGCTTGGTTGCTTTAGCGCTGTTAGATAATAGTCCTTGATTTGAATACCCTAACCCTACCAGCATCATTAAATCATTGTTCAAAGTTACTGCATGAATAATGTTTTTAGTTCTTGTTTTGTCAACTATAGACTTCCTTTTCACTTTAGCACCGCTGTCCTTCTCTTTGTCTCTTTCCCAGCTCCCACTCCATAGCTCTGCTCTTGCCACCTGGATTTCTTCTGTTTTGCCCACACTGATAGCATATGTATTGTTCTACAACCTCCACAATGAACTGTTCTTAAGCTTTGTCTAGTTTAATTCTAAAGTTGCAATTTAAAATAATGTTTCTTATTACTATGACTATATAAATACTATCCTTATTACTTTTATTGTACAACTTTTTTTTTTGATACCAGAGATTGAACTCGGGACCTTGCACTTGCGAGGCAGGCGGCGGAACCACTGAGCTAAATCCCCGGCCCATACAACTTTTAACCTTTTCTTTCTCCCCTAGAACTATTTGCTCTAGTGTAGCCTTGTGTTTTTTGTGTTCTTTCCTCCCCAAAGAGTCCCTTATATTAGGCCTTTTCTTGTGTTCTTCTTTTTCTTGGAGATGTCAAATTGGAGTTCTCCACCCATGTTCTTCCAGCTAAGCTTTTCTACGTATGTCTGCTCTACACATGTCATCACAGAACTTTCCTTCACTGCTTTCTTAGAAAGATGCTTTTATTTTTTTCAATCCTTATAAATTTTTCTTGCTCGGTTACTACTGTCTTTTGTTCCAACACACTCTTAATTAAATATTTAAGAAAACAATACTAGTAAGTCAGGTATGGTGGTACATGTCTGTAACCCCAGTTAGGAGCATTACAAGGTAGAGCCCAGCCTGGGCAACTTAGTGTCTTAGTGAGAGCCTGTCCATAAAAAATAAGAAAGGATTAGGGATGTAGCTCAACACAAAGGCCTGGGTTCAGTTTCTCAGTATATAAGAAGAAAAAGGGAAGAAGGGAAGGAGTGAAAAAGTAAGGAAGGGAAGGACAAATGTGCCAGTGGGGAGAGATAGAGTGTCTTGGTTACTTTTCTCATTGCTGAGACAAAATATCTGACACCCAAAGTTAAAAGAGGACAAGTTAGTTGTATCTCACAGTTTGTAGAGGTTTCAGTTCATAGTTGGCTGGCTCCAAAGAAGGGTGGCATGGCAGAGTATCACTGCAGAGGAGAAATAATTCATGGTGGGCAGAAGGCAGCAAAGCAGTGAAATAGTGAAGCAGCAAGCAGTGACTACAGAAGCCCTCTTTCTGTTCCTTATATTCTATTCAGGCTACCTGCCCTTAGAGCTGGTAGCACTTGCACCCAGGATGAGGCACCTATAATCCTAGCTTTGCACCATGAGTCAATCCCAGCATCACATCCCTGATCCCAGCATCACACACTCTCGATCCAGCCATCGAGAAAAAATTGCACCTATGACTGCATAATGCTTTGAGGGGACATCTAGATATAAACCAAGAGAGAGGGAGAGGGAGAGGAAGAGGGAGAGACAGAATGAATAAGAATTTTAATTGATGAGGTAAACTTTCTGAATAATTGCATATATGAAAATATCTATTTTACCATCCTACCACTTTGGCTCCAAGTTTTAAAATTTTTGTCCAGTTCTTAAAATCTTCATTGTGTTTCTTTTTAAATTTTTTATTCATACATGATTGCAGTACATAATATTCACATTCATCTTTGGGAGTGGGTATATGTACCGAACATACAATATATTGATTCTTTTTATTCCCCTTCCTCTCCTCACTGACCTCCCTCTTCCTCTCTGGATACCCTTTCTGCATTTCATTATTATAATTATTAGTTCATGTTTATGACATACAAAGATTACATTCATTGAGTGTAGTTGGTACACGTACATGATGAATCTTAAATGTTTTTGTGTCTCCTTCTTTTCCCTCCTTCCCCCTACCCAGACTCTTGGTCCCCTACCCAGACTCTTGGTCCCCTTCCCATTTGCAAAAGATCTATCTTCCCATTTTTTTAATCAGTCTTCTATTTTGCTCTTTATATGTACTTTCAAATTACTCAAGTGAGAGAAACTATACAGTATTTGAGCTCATGCGTGAGATTTATTTCACTTAACATCATGTTTTTGATGCGTATACATTTTCCTACAGATGTAACTAGCATCCATGTTATTCTAATTCTTGACTTGTAAATATTTTGTTAGTTATCTACTATATGTAAATATATAACTTATAATATACTTTCATATTATGTATAATACATATTTTGTATATTGGGTACTGTGTATTGTCTCCTCAGAAACTTTTGTAGTATTTAGCTTTGTTTTCAGAACTTCATTTCGTAAGGTGACTTTTGGTCATCCTGCTGGTACCTGCATGTCAGGTCAGCCCTTTGAGTCTGGAGACTTAAGTGACCCCATTAGTTCTGTGCAATTCCTTTTTCATTCTTTTTTTTTCTTCTTCATTTTTTTAGAACTCATGCTAATAAGATATTTGACCTTCTGTTGCCTCAAATTGCAGAATCCGCTAACTCTTCTGCTCCATTCTTGCCACCTTTACCCAGTCCTCATGTTTACAAACATAGATGTGACCATGTTGCTTCCGTTCTGCATTTGTCACAGTACAAACTGCTTCAAAATCATGCCAGGCTCTGAGGATCCTTCTGCACACTGCATTCTCATCACCTGGTTCTTCTCTGTATTCTCTGCTCCCATAACATTTGAGCAAAACTTTCAGTGTTCTGCTTTTTCTCAGTTCAGTTCTTTTTTTCTTGAACGATTTTCCTTCCACATTTCATCTGTTTGTTTTCTGATCATCCTTCACACCTCAATTAGGATGGTATCTCCTGAAGTAAATCTTCCAGAGGAAAATTCTTTCTCCCATTACATAAATGCTTTGTGAAATCAGATGAAATTCTCTGGCTTTCAGGGGAAAGAGACATTTCAGAAGACACAAAGGGAATTCTTAAACTTTACCTTGGATAGTACTTAGTCTGAAATATTAATAATGTTAACAAGTGTTGATCTCAGTAGTTTGGAACAACAGCAGTAATTGTATATAACGTACCGGATACTTTTCAAAGTGCTTTATAAACATTAAATTATTCAGTACTCACTGTTCTCATAAAACTTGCCATAGGTCACAACCTAGCACGAAAGGAAGTCAAAATTCATGACTGATTAATCTGACTTAAAAGCCTGTGATTTTAACTTTTATACTAACCATATTCACAATCATTAGGGAGTTTTGTTAATAAGTAGAAACAAATTTAATACTTGAGTTGAGACTTGGTTATAAATTTCTAGATTATATGAACAGCATAACCCTTGTAGATCTTTATTTTGCTTTATTAATTACAAATAACTTCAAAGCAATTAGCTCTTCATTTTCCTTGTTTAGGTGCTGCTGGACCTTGCTAGTTTAATTTTTGAAGAACAACAATCACTGGAAGTAATTCTGAAGAAAATAGCTGCCACTATTATTTCCTTTATGCAGGTGCAGAAATGCACCATTTTCATAGTGGATGAAGATTGCTCCGTGAGTACAGAGTATGGCTTTTTATTTTTCAGAAATTCAGAAACTTACTTTTCTAAAAGCACTGCTTCAAAGCTTCATTTTAGCCTCAAGACCCTCTCTCAAACTCAACCGTATAAGAATATTTAAAGTTGATTAGAGTAGAGGCTGTTCTGGTTAAACGAAGCTGGGGGTGAGAGTGGAGGTGCTTTTCATGCCACCTTTCTACTGTGTCCCCCACCACTAAGCGGGTCTCATGGGAATGAACATCTGTAAGCTGCTTCTGTCAGTGACTGCACTATCTGGAAGGAGAAATGTATTGTCACTGCATTGTGCTAGCTTCGTACAGTCAGGAGTGATGGTGCCCAGGTTGTTGTGAAAAGTTAGATACCCACTCTTGAATGGGTTGTATATAGTCATTTGTTTTTATCACAAATTATTTAGAACCAGAAGGCAGGGCCCAGTAGAGGCTGTTATTTAAGGTACTTGGGAGTCTGTTAGCCTTTACCAACAATGGGAAACCTCTAAAGTATAATTGCCTGGTTTCAGTCCATTGATGTGTAATGTGAAGAAATGCCTCCAGGTGTGTGGGGAGAGGTGGAGCTCCTGAGAACTGCTTGCTTGCAGACAGGCCTTCTGCCTTGAGTTTCCTGTGAGTCAGATCCCTGGCCTGAGGCAGTTTTCCTTCACACAGGTTTTTTCCCTTCTCAGTCTGTGAATTGTTGCTTCTGGGATATTGCTTTTTGATGTGGTGGATTACTTTTTTCCATTAGTCTAAAACTAGGCTATTCATTAGTAAGCTGCTGGGAAAAAGAGTGACACTACCACTTGTGTGTGGATCGGTTACAATCCAGGTATAATATTGGAATTGATGTGGTTAGGGGAAGTTGAATAGTAAAAAGCTACTTGTTAATTTTTATTAAAACTTTTAAATTGGTTTAGATATTAAGCATGTAGGATCCCTTATCACCGAAATCATTTTGTATGAATGTATATGTCAGAATGGATGAGTTGATTAATAAAAAATTCTTATTAATAAGATATCAAATGAGAATTTGCTGTTCTTCAAAAAGATACTCAACATTTTTCTAGATACTATTTCATATTTTCAATCAGTTATACAATCCTTAATGTAGAGGTGATTACAAGATACCTGGAAGCCTTTTAAAGATCAGGTCAGAATTCATTAGTGCAATATGTCAATTTATTGTTTTTGCTCTGTGACCTGCTCTTTAGGATTTAATTTTTGAAAGTTATACACGAAGTATTTCCATTTAAAGCAACTTAAATATCACTTTAATTAATATTCAGTGCAATCTTCTACCAGTTAGCACCTGTCATGGTAGCAGACTGATTTGGCTTAGTGATGTTTTGAACTACAACTCAAACAATGTGCCCCTGAATATATTTTGCTTACTTTTTGACATTTTAAATTGTTGGGCTTAGAAAAAGAATGAGATGACTTTTTGCTCATTACAGTTATTACAGTGACATTACTGTAATGACATTAATGACATTACAGTTATTTTGAGTTAAAAATATTTAACATAGCCAAAAATAAAAATGTAAGCCCCTAAAAATATACTCAGCTCTCCCCTTCACCAATTATGCTGTCATTGTTTTATTTCTTTGTTTCTTTCCAATTCTTTATTCAGTTGTAAATATGGCATTAATGCAAATGGGTATTTTCCTTCTTAAAGTAATTTCAAAAATATTACTAGGTTACTGAAGATTTCATCATTATTTTAATTATCTCATAAAATATTACTGAATGATACTTCTCACTGAGAAAGGATTTGCTTCCTGAGAATTAATAATATTCATCAATGTATGCTTAAAAGCCCAAACTTGAGGATTTTAAACAAGCAAAGAGAAATTTTTTTTTTTTTTTTGGTACTGGGGATCCAACTTGGGCCCTTGCACTTGCAGGGCAGGTGGCAGGAGCACTAAGCTAAATTCCTGGGCCAAAATTTTGAAGTTAATGTATGCACTAACACCTGGTGGCAAAAAGCAAACAAATGAAATGGCACTCAAACCTTCTTGCAAGTGAAAATCAGAAATAACATGAAGAAAGCTTTTAATAATGGGACTTTGGGGATGCTATTGATGAGTACTTGGATCAGTTCAGATGGGAGTAAACATAAATATACTACAACAATTGGTGCCTTTAGTGGATTGCACAGTGTGTGTGTATGTGTGTATGTGCATGTAGTTTTCATCACCTTATCAAACTTTAATCTGTGTTGTCACTTTGTTTTCAGGATTCTTTCTCTAGCGTGTTTCACATGGAGTGTGAGGAATTAGATAAAGCATGTGATACTTCAGCACGGTAAGTTAACTTATTCTCCATTTGTCTTTATTATAGGTATATTATACTGGCCAGATTGCTCTTTCATGCCTAGTTTGATGTAAGACATAAGTGATGGGCTATGTTTCCCCACACACACACAAATAACTTTAGTTGTCAGAATACTTTATTTGATGTTAGTAGTTTTTCCACTGCATTGACTTACCCGAGAATTATTTCATACAGTGAATTAGGTTACAATGTGTGTAGGGTTAGGTATAGTGTTGCTATGAACTAGTTCATTTAAGATCCACAAGTTACTATATTTTTTCATTTGCATAATTGACCTGTATTAGTCACTTTTCTGTTGTCGGGACAAAGTACTAACATATACAACTTTCAGGAGAAAAGGTTTATTTTGGCACATGGTGTCAGAGGTTTCAGTTCTTGGTTAGCTGTCTCCAAGGCAGCAATGGCATGACAGAAGGACATGGTAAAAGAAAGCTGCTCAGCCCATGACAGCCAGGAGGCAGAGTAGAAGAAGAGTGTCGGCGAGGAAGGGGCCAGGGACCAGATATAGACTCCAAGGTCCTTGGGCCAGGGATTTAGCTCAGTGGTTTCGCCGCCTGCTCTGCGAGCGCAAGGACCCGAGTTCAATCACCGGTAACAAAAAAAAAAAGGAGACCCCAAGGTCCTGCCCCGTGCCCTGTGGCCCATTTCCTCCAAGTAGGTCTTTCTTCCTCATAGCGCCTTCAGCTATGAAATCCCCAATGGGTCCACCCATCGATGAGGTTGGTGTCCTCACAATCCAATCACTTCTCCATGAGTCTCTCTAATGGAGTCAAGTTAACAGTAGTCAGCATTAACAGACACAGACTATTGCTGGAAATTTTATAGATTTCTGAGCAAACTCTTCTGTATACATTATTGAAATACAGTACTTGTGTATATATAGTTGTGGATCTTAAGTGAACTTGTTCACAATAATACTATACCTAGCTCTCCACAAATTGTAACATCATTCACTGTATGAAATAATTCTCCAAAAGATCAAACTTTGTTCTGATTTGGAATTAGCCATTAGAATTTAACTAATAATAAAAGGAAGCTTATAGTCCTGATCATAAAGTATTTGTTCCCACTATCACTAAATCATGTTAGATCTCTATTGTCATTTAGTTCTTTTCCATGTTTTTTTTTTTTTTTTTTTTTTTTTATATCTTTTTATTGGTACATTTTAGGTGTACAA